CAAGTTACATCTTCTAGTTTAGTTTTACTTTACCCGGCAAGTCCAGAAATGCAAAAGACAAAGCCATAAATTTTTTTTTTTTTTTTTTTTTTTTAGTAGAAACGATAACACTTTAACAAGGATTACAGAATAGTGGATAAGAAATCCACCATGTAGCAAAGCTAGCCAAGACCTCTTAAATAAATCTGATTACAAGTAACATAACCTCAACCATAATCATTTTACGGCTGCTAACATATCCTGCACTATATGAGAAAAAGAATAATCCTTGAACTCATTCGAAACTGATGCGTAGAGGGTTGCCCAGTGTCTTACTCTACCCCATAGTCCAACTCAAAGAATGAACAGAAGAATCTACAAAACTTGAAATGCTCTGGTTGTGCATTCTCGATAACAAGAATAATCTAGGATATGGCTCTTTCAATGGTCCACCTTCCAACCAATCATCCTTCCAAAACCTCACCCTTTTCCTGTTGCCCACCTCAAACTTGCAACACTCTAGGAACGATTGAAGACCAGACGAAATATCTTTCCAAGGGCTACGACTTGAAACACGCAACGAAGGATTTGCATCCCACCCATTATCCTGCAACCTGTACTTGCTTCTGATTACCTTGTGCCAGAAAGAATTTGATTCCTTTGGGAATCTCCACAACCACTTAGCCAATAACGCTTCATTCCGTTTCCTCAAATTCCCCACACCTAAACCCCCTTCCTCCTTACTTTTAATAACTACCTCCCATTTCACCAAATGGTTTTTCTTTCCTTCCTCTACCCCTTCCCAAAGAAACCCTTTCAATAGTTTTTCTAGCCGTCCAATCACCCTGCAAGGAATTTTGAACAAGGACATGTAATAAATTGGCAAACATCCCAAAACAAATTGAATCCAAGTTAATCTACCACCTCTAGATAAGAAAGCCTTCTTCCAACTTTGAAGTTTTTTTTTCCATATTTTCTACAACCGGATCCCAAAACGTAAGTGTTCTTGGCCTTCCCCCAAGAGGGAGACCCAAATACTTTATTGGCCAGCTACCCACCTCACAACCCCAGGAATCTGCCATCCTTTTAATTTTCTCACAATCTGAGTTTATTCCAGCCAAAGAGCACTTTGCTTTGTTAATTTTCAAACCTGAAATAGTACAAAATAAATTGAGCAACTCTAATAAATTGTTCCAAACTTCCTCAGCCTTCGCCAAGAAAAAAATTGGTGTCATCAGCAAATTGAAGATGCGAAATCTCCACCTTTTCTTGCCCAATGTACAAACCTTTAATCAAATGATTCTCTTGTGCCTTATCCAACAATCTACTCAAGACATCAACTAATAAGGTGAAAAGAAAAGGTGACAATGGATCACCTTATCTCAAACCTCTTGAAGCTTTAAATTTTCCTATAGGCATCCCATTGATCAAAATTGAGAAATTTGCAAAACTTAGACAACCCTGACCCATTTCCTCCATCTATCGCCAAAGCCTTTTCTTTGTAAGACTTCATCCAAAAATCTCCACTCCACATGATCATAAGCCTTTTCAAAATCAATTTTGAACACCAATCCCTCCATTGTCTACCTTAAATAAAAGCTCCTTGATATAGAGAGATTGTGCTACCCATAACCTCCCTTAGCCTTGATGCAAGCACTTTCGCCACAATTTGTATAAACTAGTAACTAGGCTTATAGGCATGTAGTCTGTCACTTTCAAAGAATCTGACTTTTTCGGACTAAGACAGATGAATGTTTCATTTGTCACTGCATTTATTATCCCTTTCTCAAAGAACTCCTCCATCACCTTCAAAATATCCACTTTCAAGATATCCCAACAATTTTGAAACATTAGCAAAGAGAACCCATCTGGACCTGGCGACTTATCCCTTCCACAATAAAAAATTGCTCTTTGAACTTCCAATTCCTCAAAAGGCCTCTCAAGCCAAGCTGCCTTAGATTGACTTATTGAGCACCAGTTAATGTCTTCCAAACCCTAACACATCTCTTCATTGTTACTAAATAGGGACTTGAAAAAGTTAACGATTTGTTTTCTATCTCTTCTACATCCTCTACCACGCCACCATCTTCCACTTCCAATCTTTCTATATAATTTCTCTTCCTTCTCCCATTAGCTATTTTATGGAAAAATTTGGTGTTACCGTCCCCATCTTTAGCCCACTCCACTTTACTTCTTTGCCTCCACTTCGCTTCTTCCTTGAAAGCCAAATCTTCCACAAGGAAAAGTAACTTTTCCCTCTTTCTTTTTGAAGCAACATCTAACCCTTCCATTCCTTCTCTCATATCTAATTCCTCTAAACTAGCCTCAGCTTCCTTAATATCTTTCTTGACATCACCAAAAACCTCCTTACTCCATCTTTGCAACTTCCTTTTGAGAGCTTTTAACTTGCTCAAAAATTTATAACCCTCCTAACCCTCAACCTGCTTAGATTGCCACCATTGTTTGAATTTGTTCTTGAAATCTAGGTGTTCTAGCCACATGTTTTCGAACCTGAAAGGACTTGGCCCCCATTTCACCTTGTTAGTATCCAACTCGATTGGACAATGATTTGAAATTACCCTTGCCAAAGCCTTTTGTCTTACATTTGAAAAGATCTCTTCCCATCCAATAGAGAACAAGAATCTGTCTAACCTCCGACACACTGCTTCTTCTCTAATATTTGACCAAGTAAATTGAGCATTGAGCAACTCTAGATCTTTGAGTTCTATATCTTGGATAAACTTGTTAAAAGTCCTCATGCTTGTAGTCGTCCTTCCCCCATTTGATTTCTCATTTACATATCTCACCACGTTAAAATCTCCTCCTACACACCATCTTGGTCCACAAAGCCCGTAAAGGCTTGCCATTTCTTCCCAAAACTCCCTTCTCTCTTTATTTTTACAGGGACCATAGACCCCTGATAGCCACCAGTCCAACCCATTCAATGCTTTAATTTTTATGGAGACTGAGAATACTCCAACCAAAGATTCAGTAACTGAGATTTGTTTTGTGTTCCGTATCACTGCTATACCCCCAGATCTTCCTTGTGCAGGTGCGAAATAAGAGCATGTTTACTTGCATTTTTGGGAATGAGACATGAAAAATATGGTAGTTCCACTTGCACTGCTATAGCTATCGCCATGGGTTAGGAACAAACGGTAGGAGTGGGGAACGAGGGTTGCTCCGCAGGCTCTTCATGGGCACAGCACAAGCGTTCCACGTTCTCCCACTTCTCATATTTCACCACCAAGGCAAGTTCATCCACTGACTCCACCAAATAGATAGACGCGGGCTGCATGTCACGGACGACAATGTCCATAACCTGGGACAATAGCTTTCGCCACTGAAGTCCCATACCTCCACCGAGTCATCCACCCTTAATGCAAATAACCGAACGTCCACAAAATTAATTGGAAGAAGAAAATAAATTTGAAATTTTGACAAAAGTCAGGATTTACAAAATGACATGTATCGATCCTTCGTGTGGATTCATAAATAAATAAATTTAGAATTTTCATGTAGAAAAAAACTTGAATTTGGGACCTCCAATTTTCAAGTTTTAAGTTCCATGTAAACATGTGTCAATTCTAAATTTGTATGAGTTAAAGTTTAAAAATAACAAATTCCGTATTCAAATTCTATTGTTCTTTTAAATTAACCATACATTAAAATTCACAAATTATAAAAAATAAAATTCCATCATTTCAATTTCGGTTATTTTAAAATCCCTTAATAATATTTAATTTTTTCATTCAAACAAAATGTGACGGTTTAGGTTATAGGTTAGACAACACTCTTGTAGTAGTGTTGATGCGACCAAGACGACGAAGTTTTACTGCTTTGTCGACCATTGTTTTTGGGACTACATGCACAAAATTATGCTCTGAATCACTTCTCAACTTTTTAAGTTTTTAATTCCTAATTTCGGCTTAATTTTTTAATAATATTTTTGAATTGGTATTGGGCTTTGAATAGAGCCCACATAACAAACATTACGTGGTTGCTAGCATGAAGCCCAAACAAGCCCAATTGAGGGTCCATTAGCATATTAGAGGCCTGGTTATTACTAGGGTTTCATTCCATTTGTTTATAAAAGCACAAGTCCCACAAGAACTCGCCTCTTCTGCGTCTAAGCAAAAGCGTAAACCCTTCACTGAGGCAGAAGCTCCATCGGCCGCCATGGTAATCCTTCTCACTTCCTTCCCCTCAATCTTCTCTTTCTCTCTTCCTCCTGTTGGAAATTCAGTTTGTTTCTGCATCTCTGCGCCTTCAAATGCACTGACAGTGATTTTGTTTTGTATTTTTTTTTCCAGGTGAAGTACTCCAGAGAGCCCGACAATATCACCAAGTGTATGTACTCTTATTGATTTACTGTTACGGATCTAATGGGTTTTTGTATACGAATCTTGGTTTTGTTTTTCCAGGAAAATTGTTTTGATGTGATTGTGGGTTTTGATTTGTTTCGTTTGTTTCAGCTTGCAAAGCAAGAGGTTCTGACCTGAGGGTTCATTTCAAGGTATTGTTACTATTCTTTGTTGTTCGTAGAGTTAAAAGTTTCGAGTTGCATGCTTTTGGGTTTTTGTTTTAGCATGTGATGATTTGGTTGTAAAATGTGGGATTTCTATTCGGTTTCTTTTGCCTATGTCAATGAATCTGCTCTGTTTTTTATTGTTGGGTGGAGATTCAGTAGTTAATGTAATATTTTGAATTGGTTATATCGGTCCGCTTGTTGTGGGATGTGTTTTCAGTTTACTAAAATTTGTTGTCTGAGAACAATTGAATTGGTGTGGTGGCTGGGTTTCTAGTTTTACGTGTTTTGCGAATCTAGTTAAAGGTGTTTGCTTTCCAGTTTTATGATTAGAAAAACTGGTGTTAGGAGGTAGCGAGTTTTAGAAGTTTGTACAATTAGCTGAAGGTGAGAAAAAGGTTGTGATTTCATGCTCTTTACTGACTTAGCACTGACTCAAACTCTGGTGGTTTGGTTTGCATATATACATGCATTAATTTGTCAAACCCTGATGAAAAAAGCAGGGCTCTGTTGCCTTCTGTGAACCGAGCTCCCGTATACTTCAGGAAGATCACTAGCATTGTTTTTGGGTGAACCTCTGTACTTTGCATATGTTGCATTTTGTGACTGAAGGTTCAGTTAATGACGCCACATTTTGTCATGTATGATTTTTTTCATATTTTTGAAACCTGATTTAAAAAAAAAAGAAGGGTTATTTACCTTCTGCGAAATTGTCCCCTGTAAATTTCAGGAAATCTATTGCATTGTTTTTGGGTGAACCTCTGTACTTTGCTTCTTTTGCACTCTTGTGAATGAAGGTTCAGTTGATGACCCCACATTTGGTCATGTTTAATTTTTTTCAATTTTTCCAAACCTGATTTAAAAAAGCAGGGCTTAGTTACCTTCTGTGAACTGGGCTCCCGTAAACTTCAGGAAAATCAATTGCATTGTTTTTGGGTGAACCTCTGTACTTTGCATCTGTTGCATTTTTGTGACTGAAGGTTCAGTTAATGACGCCACATTTTTCTCATGAATGTGTATTTTTCTTTGTTTCAAACCTGATTCGAATTAAGGATCTTGTGACGTTTTTTCATAAATAATTATAAGACATTGTTAGAATCACTTCTGTAGTGTGTGGATAGTACCATGATTTTGCTGCCTTGCATGGAGTGTTGACACTTGTAAAAACAATTTTGTGCTTGTGTTTTAGAATTTTTTTAAATTACTAATTTTGAGGTTTTGACTTGCGTTGCTATTGTGTTTAACAGAACACAAGGGAAACTGCGTTTTCTATCAGAAAGATGCGCTTGGACAAGGCAAAGAGTTATTTGGAGGATGTTCTGGCTCACAAGCAGGCCATTCCCTTCCGTCGTTTCTGCCGTGGTGTTGGGCGTACTGCCCAGGCAAAAAACAGGCATTCCAATGGGCAAGGACGTTGGCCTGTCAAGTCTGCCAAGTTCATATTAGATTTGCTTAAGAATGCTGAGAGCAATGCTGAAGTAAGTTACATCATCTTACATTCTGCTTATCACTTGGTGTTGTTATCTTTATCTGCTATCGAGACTAATAATTTCTAATCAATTTTTCAGGTGAAGGGTTTGGATGTTGATTCCCTAATCGTATCTCACATCCAGGTCAACCAAGCACAGAAGCAAAGGCGCCGAACCTACAGGGCTCACGGAAGAATCAACCGTAAGTTCCAACCAATCATCCTCTCATCTTATTTTCTTGTTGAGAATTGTTGTTTTTATATTGATTTGTATTGCTAAACCAATTGCAGCCTACATGTCATCGCCCTGCCATATTGAGCTGATCCTTTCCGAGAAGGAAGAACCCGTCAAGAAAGAGGTAACTTGAAGATTGTACATTTAGTATGACTTTATGTCGTTGAAAATACGCGAGGCAAATTGTTAACCAATTCGATTATCTGTTATCATTGCAGCCCGAGAGCCAGTTGGCAACAAGCAAATCGAAGAAGGCTGCTCTTAGGAGCGGTGCTTCCTCTTAGAGCGTATCATTCGTCCTATCGAAGGGTTGCTGGTTTCCTTTGATGAGGGTTTTTTGCTGCTTTTTATATAGTTTGAGATGTTATGTAGACAACTTTTGGGCCTCCTGTTGTTTTAGTACCAAATTATGTTTTGTTTGGGTAATATGCTTGATAACCAATGGTAGACATAATTTCATACTCATGCCCCACATTATCATGCCCCTGGTGCTGTTGTTTGTCAATGGTCTTGAATCAATGGCATTCTGTCATCTTTGTAAAACCGAAATTTAAATTTTGGATTAATGAGGTGTTATTTATATATTTTTTTTAAACAAATGATATTATTCACGTTAAGGGGGGAGGGGATGGGTTTAGCCTTGTAAAGCGTGAATAATAATGTGGTTTAAATTTATTTTTGGCTAGAATCGAATTTAAGACCATCATTGGAATATCATTAAATTGTGGTAATAAGTGACAAATTTATTTTTGATAAGCATCAAACTTAAGTTATTTTATTTACAACTGAAGAAGAATATCATTAAATTATAATATTAAGTGATGTAGTAATGATGTGTTAAGCACTTGAAGTTTTAATCCGAAGGTGACTTGGGAAGTCAGGATCACTTGTCATTGGTTTTGAAATTTGGATATAAAGGGTTGAGATCAAAAGATTCAAAAACTTATATCAAACCTGGAACTAGGTGATCATATTTCACCGGTCACGGGGTATTTAATACCGGAATTGAATCCGTTTCGAACCTTGCTGTCAGGAGTTTAGAGATCAATTCATCTAGACCGCACAAATTCAATAAAATAGTCTCCGTTAACTCATTTTCCTGGCTCACCACACAAAGCCAACGACTCTGATTTCTTTTAACCACCAATCAACGGCCCAAATGAATTGATTCCTAGGCTCCGGACACTAAGGTCCGGAGCGGATCCAATTCCTTTAATACCAACGAGACTCCAGTTCTAGCATGATATTATGTAGGGAGGATTATCCTCTTCATTTATCCTTTTCTGTATGCTTCTATATGTGCTCCTTGGAAATGCTTTTGTTAGAAGCAGAACACGATTCAAACTGAAAACCAATGTGTCTAGGAAAAGAAATTCACATGGAAAGGGTTCGGCGTCATATGACATCAGGTGAAAAAAAAAAAACTTACATATGATAATGCATTATTAGATTGATTATAGTTTAAATACTTTTTAAGTAAAAATATTCCCAAATTTAGCTAAATTAATCTAAAAAAAATATTATTTTCAAAAAGTTAATGGGAAAAAATATTAGGCTAAAACGATATATAACAATTTTTTGGCCTAAAATTTAGGCCGTGCCATTGGTAAAAGTTGTATCTAATCAAATGAATAAGATGTTGGATTTCTACTCATACACTCAACATTTGAAAGTCTTTCTATAAACTAATATAACAACTTCGAATTCTCCCCTTTCGTTAATAATTATAATAATTACAAAATGAAAATAAAAAGAAAAGGAGTTGGCATCCCTGGGTTAGAAATCGCAGGCCTAGCTAGTTGGGGACCTTTCAATTGGGCCGGTATATACCCCGGAACTTAATCGACCCGGAATTTATCAAACCGACCAGAGCAAACCACGTATGCGCCTTGCTTATCAGCCGTCAGATTCAAAATCAACGTCCACGATCTCTTTCCGAGATTCAACGAGCGTATCAATTTTATTTTTTCTAATTTCGCCCCCTCAGAAATTCTCATCGTCTCCCTTTATCATCACTGTCTCCCTTTATCGCTCGCCCGTGCTTTCATCAGTTGGTCCGTTCGCAGGTAAAAACTCACTCCCTCTCTCTCTCTCGTGGAATTTCAATTACTAGGGATTTAGATCCCAATTTTTGTTCGAACATTTTTCTTTTCGATTCCGTCATCGACCTTTATGAATTTGGTGCTTTTTTGTTCTTTGGCAGCTGAATAAATTCATATCCAACCAAATGATTTTCATGATCTCGTCAATTTTCTCTTTTATTATTGCTTTTTCTGTGAAATTATGGTAATGTAATTTATGCTTCCAAATTTGTTTAATTTTTCAGCTTGCAGAGGAAGTGCTTACCTCAGAGTTCATTACAAGGTACTGTTTCTAGGGTTTTTGTGGCACAGTTTCGAATGTTGCGAATTTGCTTAATTTTGTTTTGATCCGTTAATTAATCCGAATGAGGAAGATCACTTCTTTAATTTTTTGGTATAATTTGCAGATGGATTGGCAAGGGCAAAGGCTAGCTGAGCAGCTGATGCAGATACTGCTACTGGTGTTCGCCGTGGTTGGATTCGCCGCCGGTTACATCACTGGGTCTTTCCAGACGATGGTTCTGACTTATGCTGGTGGTGTGGTTCTCACCACATTGGTCACCGTCCCCAATTGGCCCTTCTTCAATCGCCACCCGCTCAAGTGGCTGGACCCGAGCGAAGCCGAGAAGCATCCCAAGCCGCAGCCGCAGCAGCCCGTGAGCTCGAAGAAGAAAGCCTCCAAGAAGTAAGAAGTAGGTCAGTTTTCTTGAGACTGATCACAGCAATGAGATATTAACATTGTACTCAAACTTCCATTACCAGCACTTATACAATGACTAGAAGAGAATTTCATGGTATTTGCAGCATTGTGTTTTGTGCGATCTTGTTTTAATAGGTTTGGTTTCGGATTCGTAAATAGGAAACCCTTCAATTTGCTTTTGATAGTGTTTTAGGTAAAACCGAGCGTCTAGGATTCGCACGGCCGACCCTACTTGGTAGGATTTGTTGTTGATGTTGTTGACTTGTTGCACCCTCAAGCAATCCCTATCCATTGAGAGTGTAAAGATCTCTGAGATTGAATCGGTTGCCAATTATAAACGTTGCTTGCATTTCACTACAAAAGAATCTAGCAATCTGATTACGCTCGCGCTGTTCTGTACGGCTGAGGTCAGTCTAAACACTGTTACAACATCACGGCTCAAACTTTAACTATTTACAACGTATGAAATGAGTGAGCTTTCTACTGGTTTTCATCCCTCATTGCCCTCAGAAAGGCATCATTTTCCTCATCTAGTAAGTTGTCGTCATCATCCAGCTCGTCTAATTCATCGAGTAAAGATTGGTTCGTACTCTTGCGAGATACTCTCCTGTGCTTCTTCAGCTCCAACCGCGGTTCAGCTTGTTGAACGCCCTTATCTCTCGCCTTGTACCTGCAAACAATTTGTCCATTCAGGCTCATTAGCAGGACAAACAAAACATACGACATTTGTGCAGATACTAATTAAGTCTGCATAAGCACAACGATGAATGCCAGGGCAAAGTTAAACCAGCAGAAAATTATGAATAGTCAAACGATTCAAGCCATAGAGACGGTGAAATACTAGCTGCTTTCATACCACAATGTTTCGGTGGAGCATATGATTTCTTTTTCACCGTGACAACCATGGTAGTGCGGATTATCAGCATTCAAGTACTTAAACCACAGAAGTTAAAGTATTTAGTCGAAAGGCATGCATAATCAAGGTTAATACCCTGATATATATAACACAAGCATACCTGACATCACCCTCCTTTTTAGTTCCATACGTCCTTAACTGAAATTCCTCTCTGATTCGGATCTCATCAAGAAGTTGGAAATAGTACGGATATCTTTCCCAGGCAGCACTAACGACACACCCCGGTTCACCAAGATGCAGGCAATCATTGAATGAGCATTTAGCAGGCTCACCGTCACTGAGCATCTTCCTGATCTGATAGGATAAAAGCGAAAGTAGCAGTAGAAAGTAACAAAAGTTAACATGTGCCAACAATGTGAGGGAAACGAACTTAAAGGACATGAGTCAAGTGAAGGGCATAAAATAAAAAGTACACAAACCTCTGGGAATGTTTGTGCTAGAGATTGCTTTGTGACTTTTAGTAAACTAGGCAGGTTGAAGCCAGGAGTGTCAGCAAGATAACCCCCGGTAGACAAAGGAAGCAACGAGACATTGCGAGTAGTGTGCTTCCCTCTGCCACTTCTTGTTGAAACCTGTCCAACAAGCTGATCCCCATACCATTTGCTGCCTAAAATCTGAAATAAGTACAGGAAACAACGGATATATGAGCACCAAACTCACACGAACAAAATGATCGAAACAAAAGAAAAAAGAACGAAGGGAGTGATGAAACCCACCGGATCAAACAAATTTTCCCCTTCTGCATCATCGGAAGCATGGTGGTTGCTCCTCAAAGCATTAATCAGACTAGACTTTCCGACGCCACTTGGACCCACAATAACACTTGTCTGATCTCTCAATATGAATGCAAGAGAATCAAGGCCATGTTTAGATTCAACACTGCAGAAAACCGGGTTGTAGCCCCACTTATGTAGCCTAGACTTCCATGCAACCTTTGCCTGAAAATTTCATCGAAGGCTAGCACGCTTAAGAATCAATACTACCAAAACAGAGTATACAGAAGACGGACAAATTATATTGCATCCATAAAAGTAAACCACATTTAGCATGCGGGATAAGAATAGATTACGAGGAGAAATATGATCGAGCTCAATAACTAATTGTAGGCGCTGTTGCGCGCTACTGTACGATGACAAGGAGAAATATGATCGAGCTCAATAACTAATTGTAGGCGCTGTTGCGCGCTACTGTACGATGACAGATTAGATTCGAATGAGTCTTCAACAGGATCAAAATTTCAGAACCAGTTTGATGCTTCGTTGAACTATTATATGAAAAACACAGAGCACCAGATCAAAATTTCAGAAACATTTTGATGCTGCATTGGATTATTCTACTTTTTCTCAGAGGCCATTTCTCATCCGGAATACTAAGTTTACTCACGTAACACAAGAGATTAACAATAATTAGAACTAAGCAGCAAACTAAGCACCAAAATTAAAATTAAGAATCCGATCAAACCTCTTCGTCAACCAGCTCAGACTTGTTGAGACCGAGTGTGAGCGGAATTCCCGTGGACTCGGCCTCGATCAGGAACCTGGTGAGCGCGAACGGCTCGAGCTTGGGCTGCTCCATGGAGAAGAGCACGAGCAGATGGTCCACATTCGCAACCGGAGGGTCAAGAATCTCGGAGCTCCGCTGGTACACATTCTCGATCATTCCCCGGCGGTCCACCCAATCAATCGACCCTACCAGCACCTTGTCCCCAACCAGCACTCTCCTCTTAATTTTCTTCAGCACCGCCTTCACGACGCACAGCAGCTCCACTTTGCTCTCTTCGATGCTTCTGGGAGGCTCCACGATGACGCGCATGAAGTTGGCCTGGGCGGCGGCGACGGTGCCGACGGTTTGGGACTCGGAGAGAGGGGGCTTGTCCTGGGGAGATAGGACCGGGGCGAGGGAGGAGTAGTCCTTGAAGGTGTGTTTGGCTCTGAGGAGCTTCTTGTTCGGGGGCTGGGATTTCCTGGAGACGTTAGGGTTCTGGTGCTGTTTGGCTACAGCGACCGTGGCGCACCGGAGGGTTGAGATTTGGCGGATGAGTTTGGCGACGGTTGGGAGAAGGGCGGTGGTGGGGATGATGGTGCGGTGGCGGAGGATGGACATGGAGGAAATTGGCATGGAGATTGTGGCGGTGTTTGGATACAGAGATTAATTTGGTTTGGCTGCGAATAATCTGTTTGGGAATTTGGTTCAGTTGAAAAGGGGATTATGGTCATAGAGATTCTTCATTTCCGTCATCAGCAGATTGGAGTGAGCACTGCACAGTGCACAGGCATTCTGCATTTCTCAGGTGGGACTTCATGGGTGTATACAAAACGACGTCGTATGGAGAATTCATGGTTTGGACCAACACTGGATTTAGGCCCAATTTTGTGAAGTAGACTTTATAACTTGATTTAGCCCGATTTAGCCCAAAGTTAGGCCTCATAAAATGTAATGCAGCCTTTCTTTGGGTCTTTGCAACACGGAGTTTTCCTTTTGGTTTAGTGTACTCCTCTCTTTGTTTCTTAGGGTCACTGATTCGGCTCACTCGAATACGAGAACGATATTTACATTTACTTATAATGATAAAAAGTTAATGTAAGATTGTGATGTAACTTTGTTGTGAGTTTATTGGTTCGTTAATCATGACTTCGAGTCTACAACCACTGCTCCGTTAATCAAAATTGACAAGACTTTTATGTGACAAGCTAAAAGTTATCGCATAATGTAGAATATGGTAACTCATGAACCATGACCAAAGAAATTCTCAAATATGAGAACTTGCGAGATATATATTAGGATACTTTGAGGACTTCTATTTCTAACTTTTAGCTTGTCACATAAAACTCCAATATAAAAAACTTGCGAGATATCTCAAAGAAATTCTCAAATATAAGGACTGTATAGGATTTAAAAGGTGGGCCCGCCTGTTGATTTTGAGTGGGAACCAAACCCACCAATGTTTGAATGCTGCACAACATAGCTTCATTATGGGTTTTTTTTTTAATTGTTTATTGTTTTTGGAACCAACCCACGTGAAAGATTTCTGCAACTTGTTTTTTTTTTAACCGTTGAGAAACTAACAGTAGAGATAGTTTTTTAATTTTTATCAACGACCACAATACTACAACGAGATGAACAATGATTTTTTAATATTTTAATCTCTACATTTAAGAATTTTACTATCAGAACCTCCCATTGCAGACAACGTTCCCTTAAGGACTCGAATATTACATTAAAGTCTCTCAATGAGATTTCAAAGTTAGTGGTGACCATTGAAAATGCCCTAAAATTGGCAACGAAGTCAACAGCTAAAAGAGGGTACTTTTTTTTATAACTATTTTGTTTTTCTTCGTCTCACCACCTATCCGATGCCATCCATGGATAAGATAACCATGTCATCGAATCTATTTTAGATAGAGGAGAACGTGCACGGGAAAAGGAGGAATAAAGAATGGTGAAGGAATGACGGTAGAAGAAATATAAAAAGAATGTGCATCGAATTACAGACAAATAGAAATCACTTTTGTCATTTTGTTATTTTCTCCTTTATTTATTTTTTTTTCTATCCCACCCACTGCCTCCCTTTTTTATTCTCAGTTGTTGGTTATTGTCAATTCTTCGTTACTCTCATATATGTTCCTCCTCTATACTAACATCAGAAGTAAAAAATTAAAAACGAAAGAGTTATTAAATGACTCTTAATTTCACAAAACACGTGACGAAAGAGATCATTTTAGTCAAAATTTTTGCAAACGTCAAATTTGTAGGTGAGTTACATATAATAAGAGCTTGTGATTTGGTCATTATTTCTTAGTGTCTGGCAAATCTATGGGAGTCAATGGTATTATATTATCCCGGATAGGATGACGAACATAACCTCATTTCATACACTTACAAATTCTTATCCCTTCTTCTATGCAATACAGCAACAACTTACGTTTCATGACAAACATGAAACTCAAAGATAATCTACAGCAGCAACGCTTTATTTTATTAAGTGGAATCGGCTCTATGAATTCTATAACGTCACTGCGCTTGGTTTTGCGTCAAGTCTTTCATTAACTCTAAGTACTCCATGTCTTTTCTTAAAGTTTTTTTCCAAGTTTCCTAAGTCTTCCTCTACTTCTTTTGCCCTAAGCCTCTATTCATATCTCAATTTTTAATCAGAGTATCTGTAGATTTTCCGCTTACTTGTC